CTTCGAAAAGTGAAATACGGTATTGGTTGGATAGAATGGAGGATTATATTGAAAATGAACGATGAAAAAGAAGAAAAGAATCTTTTCTCCAAGATTATTAATTTTTACGATGAATTCTTTTATTTGATTTATCGCTTTGTTAGTTTGATGCTAGACGATCGTACTTATTTCCTCTTGTTCGTCTTCCTTTCCGCCGTTTCTTCTGAGAGGAAGCGCATTTACGTGGAGATATTCCCAAGATGGAAAGCCACAATTCGCTCGAGATAACGTACTACTGGGAGTTTCCCTACGAGGATGCTTTTCCAGTGAATATTAAAGTGAAGTTTTTTAGAGCATGACGATTCTAAATTTCAACCACTGATTGAAAATCCCAATTTAAACAAATTTTTTTCTTATAATTCGATTTTCATACTTTCCTCGCCGTCATTTTTACGATTTGTGACAAATCTTTTTGTCATTTACAATAATGATAAAAAAATTATACTATTTAAATAGAAATAAAAAACAGAAAGAACATTATAATATAACAAACAATTTGTATATATATTGTTCCTAATTATTTTTTCTTCGAGTAACTTAAAAAATTTTTATTTATATGAAGCATTTTGTTATGATTTTTTTTTTTAATTTTTATGAATAGATCTAATTGGTGTCGATGCTTTGTGAACCGTAACGTTCGTAAATTGCGACGATTTCTCGGTACGCTGCATATCAAATTAATGAGAAACAGCTGATTACATAAGTAGTTCATGGTTATTAAAACGTAAAAATAACCGTTGATTCGATTTAACGCCGACTACGAGTTGCATTTGAGAGAAACGATTTAAAATTGCATCAAATTGAAAAATATAAGTTTCAAAGTATAAAGAATTTATATCCGAATGAAAAATTTCGAGACGGTCAAATTACGCTACTTAAAAAACTATTACTTTTTTTTTTTTTTTTGTTAACTAAAGTTTAACATTCCTCGATAAAAAGATTCTCGATAAAAAAATTGTTAAACATTTCAAACGATGAACGTGAAACACACATTCGATAAGGCTTCGTAAATTCTGGTATTCTAATTTTGTATACATATATTATGATATATAGAATATTTGAATTCCGTTTGAAAAGTGAACGACGATTTATTTTTCTTTTTTCAATCACCGAGTAAATTCGATCTCATCACGTTTATTGCGTCGAGGATAATCCCTCGAATTTGTAATTCGAACGCGTTTCTCCGCGTTAACCTCGTAGATGGGGAAACGGACGATAAGTGGCGTTCAATTTACTGTCGTTGCTGTTAATAGAATATTTCATCGGATATTTACACTCGAACCGTGCAAGACAAGATTTATATCCAAGAAAAATCAAATCGAGGATCGAGGGAACACGAAGGAAGCGGAGAGGAAGATGAACGAAATTTTCGAAATTTGCATACAGATGATTTGCTTCTTATCCCATTCTTCTATAAACGGAAACTAGGAATTAATAGCTTCGATAATTCTACGCCCAACGAACATGTGTTGTTTCTCTTACTAAAATGCCATTGTTATCAACTTTTATTCCTTCTGTTCTAGATCGCCCATAACCTTCGTTACTTTTATTTTTCGTCCCTCGAATTATTCGACGATCCGTTTCAATCGTTATAGAAAGATGGTAATAAATTAAGACCTGAATAGAAATTTGTTTTTATCTTCGAAAGCTTCCTTATAATTCTTTTAAGTATATGAACGAATATATATATATTGTATTGAATATTATAAAAATATTTTTTCACATTGACAACTATTTTGATCGAAGAAAACTTGGAGATGACGACAAAAAAAAATAGCCATTCCAGTATAAAATTGCTTCTAAATTTCTGAAATTAGAAAACATTATCTGTTCGAATCGTTTAAATGCTTTTCAAAATCGTAATTTAAATTGACGATTAAAACGAAAGTTCTTAAGACAATTTCTATGTTAATTTATTTATTAAAATTACTTACATTCTTCGGAACAATGAAAATCTCAATCTCTGTCGAGTGTAGCGGGTAAAAGCGGTACGGAAACAAGACACAACTGATTTAGCAACAAACTACAAACAACAAACTATTCGAATCACCGCTATGTTTCCTCGGTATTCATAAGACAAGAAGGCAGAACATCTTATTACACGATGCTTCTTGTTCAAACAAAGCTTTCCAACAACGTCGATTATTATGTTCCAAGCCACATTCCCTTATATTATAATCTCTTATCCAATATTCGATCGCTTTGTACACGTACAACTTTGATTTTGTCGAATGTATCTCGCATCTCTTAATCTATGTTACAATGGACGATCATGAGCACGGTCTCTTTCATTATTATAATTTAACAAAATTATAACAGCAAGAATGAAAAGGACGACCAAAGAAACGGTAAATTTATTATTTTTCGAGGACGGTGAAAATTCTTATGCGAGTTTCGAGCATAATCTTATTACTCGGCTAATAAAGTCGGACGTGAATTTCACTCGTTTCCTAATTTTGTGTCCCGCGAAGTCGAGCTCGCGTTATTACGTAATTCAACATAGCGAGTTATGTTTTCATGGAAACTTTTTGAAAATATAATGTTCGTTGAAATTTTATTATTTTAATTTATTTAAGACAATCTATATGAATTTTTTTATATTTTATTGTAAAAATTTATTCGTTCAAAATTTTATGATTCTTCTTTAATGATTTCCGATTACGAAAGATTTGGATATTTACGATATTCGAGAAGCATAACGAGAAATTTGGAATATTATAAATTTAAAACGTATATAGCAATAAATGTATTTTTAGAAATTTTTCGAACAAAGTAAATAACTCTTTAAATATTTCTTACATATAGATTATTTTTTTGTATTTTCAATATCTATTTTTAAAGTTTCTTTATTATATTTCTGCGTGTAGCTCTCCTAACTTCTAACTATTTAAGTATTACATTATTCCTATTAATACTTTCTTTCATCTTTATTTTTAACTACTTCTTAACTACTCGTATATTCGTAATTTCTCAGCTTATAATTCTTATTTTTAAATTGACTGTTTTCTTTTTTTTTTTTTTTTTTT